CCTAACTAGATATATTCTTAGTTTGTTATTGATCGAAGGGGAATTAAGATTAAGATCGGAATTTTGTAAATGCTCAGGTGTTCTGTAAGAATTGTTTTGGTGTAATCTGAATGGCCTAAAGGTTGTGCAAACATCTGCATGTTACAAAGTTGATGTCTTTACTATCAACTAGAGAATAATTAAGGACTACGAATTTTGTCGAAAGTTATTTTCTATTGTTTTTGCTGACTTTTCTGGGATTGGAAAAGGGCTATGTAGAAAATATTTCAGTTTTTTAGCTATTTCTTTCCAAGTCCATATTTAAAATCAGGGGGCAAGCTCTGAGATGATTTGGTTAAAGCAGATGGTAATGTTATGGACTCCTTGGCTGCTGGGACTTTATATAAATACCTCTTACAAGATGGATGAAAATCAAGCCTTAAAATTGTCACTCATCATCAGCCTTTATCTGCTCCTCAGTAACCACCATTTTCGGCCAGAAGCTGCTTTTAAAGCTGATCAAGGATTCCGAGCCATCGTTGTTAACGCAGCAGAGCAGGTAGCTATTTCTAAGGATATACGCATAATTAAAGGAATAAATTGCTAATGACGGGGCAATTTTACTTAAAACAAACACTCATTAAATTCTTGGCTTCTACCTCCTATAAACAAAATTGTAGGCTGGAAATTCCCTTTACAATACAAAATCACAGGGGGAATAAAATAACGATGGCTAATGAAGATAGAAAAAAATTAAATCAGGAAAATCAAAATAGTAATCACTAACTGGATATTGTTTATTGAACAACAAAGGAATCTATATTAGCATAAGGATAATTTTGTGTAAACTGTTTAGCTTTGTCTTTAAGAAAAAAAAATTATGAAAAATAAAAAATAAAAATTGTCACTCACATCAGAGAATAACATATCTTACAAAGTTGATGTACATCAACTTGAATAATATTTTCCACCATTTTTTCGAAAGCCAGAATTATATTCATATTTTTTCTGCTTTTCTTTTCAGGATTTGAAAGGGCTTGTGAAAGCAGTAGCTATTTCTTTTCCAAGTCCAATTTTGGCAAGCTCTAGATTTGGGGAGATGGATGAGGGACTCCTTGGCTGCTGCCTCCTCCAAGTGGATTCGCCTTTCCTTTTCCCAGCCTTTTCTGCAGTCTCTCAGCAATGGAAGCTGCTAAAGCTGATCCTTTCCCCGAGCCATCGTGAACCAGCAGCAGGTTAAACTGTGAAGGATATACGCATTTAAAAGAATAAATTGCTAATGACGGTTTGCAATTTACTTAAAACAAACATCTATAAATTCCATTATAGTCCTTCTAAATATAAACAAAATTGTAAAAGTAGGCCATTATATCAGGAACTTACTGGTCTGCCGGGAGCAAACTCTGCAATGAGCCTTTCCATGAGCGGTCTAAATCTCGGGTGATACTGGAAGAGGGATCCGTCAATAGCAACTGTGCAGTGTGGCCTCTCCATGCGCACCAGCAGGATGCTTGTCACTGTAGAATTTGAATGGTTTAATGTTATAATCTTGTGATAATGTAAATTTATTAGTCTTCAAATTATGGGTAAAATTTAATCATTTCTTGTCAAACGTGATACAGCCTTACCAGCTAGCCAACGAACTATGTTACAACAGGTATAGCAAACCTGACTGGAATTTAAACTCCGAGGACATCCAGCATTATGAATATAGCCTGTGGTACATGAGAAGCATAATTAAAAGTTGATAGTAGCACTCGCGCACAAACCAGGGCATGACAATATCTTGTTACATGCCTTCCATCATGTTTTTTTTTTTTCGATTTTTTAATTTTTCTTGCCGATTTTGATGAAAGTCTCACACTTTTCTTTAAGCCCCTTCCCATTGCCTGTGGTCGATTTTTTTTTTCGAAATCGGCCGAACAGCTTTTGAATTATTGTCAAAAAAACAAAAACCTCCCCCCAAATTTTTTTGAAAATGCAGCGAGGGGTGGAAATCCTCCCATCTTCAAAAAATGATAAAACATTCAATTTTATTTTATTCTTGAACAGAACTATCCTATAGCTACTTGTTCGATCAGGTTTTTTAAATTTTGGCTTCTTTTTATTTTTTTGGAGAATTTTTGAAGTAGGCTACTTCACGAAAATCAAAAAAGTGAAAAACTTTCTGACGTTTGTCACTTTTACAAGAAGCACAGGCAAAAAATGGAAAAAGCTGATCGGTCAAGTTGTAGCTATTTTCTTTTTCTACAAAATGAGCCATATGTTAATTTTGGACGAAATTTGCACCTTTGAGGATTTCCACGATACCCAAAGGTGGTGTACCGAGATATCGGCGTTTTTCGTTTTCTTTATTCCATGACTATCTTCGTATCAACAAAACAAGATATAAGATTAGTCTTCCTACACCATAATCCTCTATCATCTACCTGCATTCCGAAGTCTTGCGGACATTGCCAGCACGTAACGGTTTCTCAAAATCTTACGTATAGTGCAGAGTGGTGGCAGTGATCTGGGGGTCTATTGGCCTACATTGACCATTTTATAAAATTTCTCAAAAATCCAAAAAAACATGTCTGAATAGAACTATCTTTCTACTATTATATGCAGAAGCCATTTTTTTGGTGAATATTTTACGAAGGTGACTCAAAACACCCTAATAGGAGATTTTGAAAATATATGTCACTTTTATAAGCACTTGAAAATATTGCAAATTCTTATGGCAGCATGTAATAGCACTATTATTCAGCTACAAAATGAGCCATAATACGTTAAAATCGGACCGAAAATACGCGTGCTATGCGTAAAAATGTAAAGGACCTAATAACCGCTCTTTTTCCGCTTTATCATATTTACATTTTACATGACAAATCATGTACGAAATACTTGTTATTGATATAATTATATATTATTTACAACGTATAATATTGGTAGAAAGAATAACTTTTCTCCAGTCGGACGGGAATCATATTGTCCTCTTTCTCGGCGCGGCCGGGCCGCGATGACTCAGCTCTTTACCTATGTGGAGAATGAATGCATAACTCTACGGGGCCGCGTAGCCATTTTTCACACTCAGACTCGCGTGAAAAGAGAGCCCACTCTTTTCACGCAAGTCTGAGTGTGAAAAATGAGAAAGAAAAGAGAGCCCACTAACGCCAGCAAGACACCACTCGCACCGAGGAAAGACTACGTCCGTCTCGCCTTCCCTGAAGGCACCACGAAAAAAGAAAAAATGAAATGGCTACAGGACATTGGCAACCCCTCTTCGAACCTGCGGGGTACACCCATTGACCTTGTGAGAGGGGACACGCTCTCCTCGCCATATATCTATGTCGCCCGCTCCCAGCAGAGCTATATAGAAAACCTTACCGGGGGACTTATTGGAGGTATTACCTTCAAATCATGCGATGAAAAGAAGAAATCGGAAAAATATGACGAATACCTCGTCACACATTATAACAAGGACCTTGACCTTGACAATGCATATGCACTCGATGGAGTTCACAAGGACATTCGAGTGTACAAGGATGGCCAACCATTAAACCGAATCCGCATCGTATGGAAAGGAGAGCAACCCCCTCCAAGTACATACAATTTCTTCGGAAAATACATGCCCACCAGCCACGTGCGGCCGTGGAGGGCATCCCCTGTCATATGCTACAACTGCATGGGAAGCGGCCATGTAGCTAAGTATTGCAAGGATAAGGCGAGCAACACAGTGCCAAGGAGTGTCCTCGCAGTGCTGCAGGGCGAGAGCCTGCTGCAGATGCACCGAGCTTCGTCCCATCCTGCTTCAGGTGTGGGAAGGCAGGTGTCACTGCCTGGCACTGGGGGTGCACAGCCCTCCCTGCTCTGGCACCTCCCCCCCCTCCTCCTGTGGCCGCAGCACCGACCGCGAGTGCCCAGCGCAGCCCTCCCTGCCCTGGCCCCTCCCCCCCACCCCCTGTGGCCCCGGCACCGACCGCGAGTGACCAGCGCGGCCCTCCTAACCCAACCCGCGGCCAGCGTGCCGGGGGAGTGCCCAGCCGTGCCATGTGTGACGTCACCAGCCGCAGAGACTTCCCGGGGCTGTCGGCGAGTGGGGATGCAGAGGTAGCCGAACTACGCGACACGGTTGCGTTGTTGAAGGAGCAGGTTGACAAGATGATGCTAATCATCACAGAGCTCAAGACCGCGACCCCCTCCCCCCCCAGGCGCCCGCCGAGGCGGCCGTCCCTCACCCTCGGGCAGGGATGACCGCAGGCCTGGCCGGGGAATCCCCCGCAAAACCATGTGGAAGAAGTGACGTCACGCCAGCTGACCATAGTGACATAAATGTGCAGGAGCTTTTAAAGGAAATCAAAGCTCTGAGACAAGAAAACAAAAACTTGAGACAAGACAAGGAAAAAATGAACAGGGACTGTCATTGCCGAGATACTAGTGCTGCTGTTAGTGTTAAAGAAACGAGCGAGCAGATACGATGTCATGACATCAGTGCTGATAACCAGAGTGGGCGTGTCAGCGCAGACAGCAGCGACGAACACTACCACGATCCCTGCGGCACCGAGTCAGACGAGGAGTCCAGTGACGTCACCAGCCCCCCAGGTACACCCGGCACAACAACCGAGGGGACTGTGCTAAGAAGTGGGACAAAGCTCAGACCTAATCTTTGACATGGTTAAAAGTACTTTTAAGCTTAGGACAATCATCTGTAATAGAATCTACATTATTCATGAAGTTATATGTTTCTTATGTGAACCTAAATTCCGTAATATCAATGGATATAAGCGCATGAAGTACAGATTACATAATAATACACTACTCACATATGGATAGACACACAATTAAATTCATATTATGGAATATGCGTAGTATTAAACCTAGGCTGAGTGACCTAGAGTTTTATATTCGTAAATATAATATTGATGTGATTTGCATGCAAGAACCTTTTGCTGCTGCTGCTAAAATGAAAATTGCACCTTCAATTAAGGGATATCATTCTTATGTGAATACAGCCATAACTGGATTGTTGACATATGTGAAGGTAACATTGCCACATAAATTAGTTAAAAAATTCGAGAACACTGATGTTCAATTTCATCATTTAAAAATTCAGACTGCCTCTGGGTAATTTTTCACTATATAATATATATGCCAGATCATCAAAATTTCTGGCTGTTTCTTTACCCATTTTTCACAACCAAGGCACGTTATGCATGGGCGACCTTAATGCAAGGCACCCACACTTTGGAGACAGCCAGCGTAATAGTAATGGGGAAGAATTCAAACATTTCATTAATAGTAGATCACTAACAGTATATGACACAGAAATAGAAACTCATTTGGGAGGTGGCAGGTTAGATTACGTATTTGGCAAAAATCTAGTTCATGGTAATGTCTGTACTTCACTGGTACGAGAATTAGTTAGTGACCACTTTGCAATCCGAACTGACTATACTGTTGACAGCAACTCAGCCCCTAAAACACCTAGGCTTAGAATAATCATCCCACCGGGCCTGGAGCATCACTTCAAGGCACGTGTCTTTGATTGGTACAACACATATGAAGTAACAACAGTTGAAAATTTCTCTCAGGATTTAATCAAAGTTGTCACTGACTACTATAACACATGGGTCTGTTCACGAAAATTCTCGAAGAAAAAGAGCCCCCAAGCCCCCCATGCTCCGAGGTGGATCAATGACCCAATTCTAGCCAAGGAACATCAACGAGTTCAGGAGCTTGCCAATTGCTATAAAGATAACAAGACGTCAGACAATCTTATTCAGTTTCTTAAAGCCAATAAAGAATTCAGAGAACTAAAAACTGAGATTCGTAGTAAACACTGGGAACAATTTTCACAAAGCATCAATAGTCAAACTTCCATGGCTGATGTATGGAAAAAGTTTAATAGGCTGACAGGTAAAGCTCCCACAACACCGCAGTTTCACAGCCCACAAGAACAGGCTAATATGCTACTGGAGCAGTGGGCTGAAAACTCTCAGCTGAACTCACTTCCACAAGGGATAAAAGATCACCTCGACAAGTCAAAAATAGATAGGAAATTCAATATAGCAGTAACCTGTGCTGCTATTGACCCATCCGATTTTGCCGAAATAACCGAGTGGGAACTAAGAAATGCCCTTGTGAAAGGCAAGGCAACAGCCCCTGGCGAGGATGGCATTACTTACAGTGTTCTTCGCCTCATTGCGCAGGTGCCAGGCAACCCACTCTTACACCTGTATAGACTCAGCCTATCACAAGGAATCCTCCCAAGCTCCTGGACTAAAAGTTTAATCATCCCTATACCCAAATCCAACACTGACAAATACAGACCAATTTCCTTGACCTCCTGTCTGTGCAAAGTACTTGAGAGAATATTTCTGAACAGACTCATGTACCGTATACATGCTAAGTTATCCCCCAGACTGTATGGATTTCTCCCAGGACGTAGCAGTCAGCATTGTTTTGCATAATACTTACACTCAATACCAGGCATGCAAACCGTATTTCTTGATCTTCAATCTGCCTTTGATATTGCAAACAGAGAAATGATCCTTGAGCAACTAGCTAGTTTTGGTATTCAGGGAAAACTGTTAACATGGATTCAAATGTATCTATCCAATCGATCGGCTCAGGTTTTCTTCAGGGGTGTTAAGAGTACTCATGCAAAAGTGTTTGAACTCGGCACACCTCAGGGAGGCGTACTTAGTCCCATGCTATTTAACATCCTAATGCATAGATTACTAGGCGATATACCACTTGAGGGCAGTGACTCCATTATTTGCTATGCCGATGATATTTGCATTAAATCCTCATCCGAAGAGAGAATGCAACAGATCCTTGATGTGCTTTCAGCAAGGGCTACAGAGTGTGGCTTGATAATATCGACAGAAAAAAAAGGCACTTAACCCTAAAACAATCCTCTGCCAAGGTTTCACATCAATGACGTTGAGCTAGATCTCTGTCACCAATACAAATATCTCGGGGTGGCTGTTAATGATGCAGAGTTCATACAAAACCTGAAGAAAAGGCTGTGGGAACGTCTGAAGCCACTTAGGACACTTGTCGGCAAAGACCATGGTATTAATGTCAATATTGCTAGACTCTTACCTGTC